ATAATCATGTGAGTGTGGGGAGAAAATGACTGAAGGAAGGTAGAATTAGGGGTTTTAGGGGGCTGGGAATATTCTGTCTCTGGTTATATGACAGATCTTGTCACATGGCATGTTCTATCTGTGAAAATCCAACAAACTTTGTACTTATGAGCTATGCATTAATCTGAATATATTACACTTCAATACAAGTTTATAAAATTTACACATTAGGAAAACACATACATGAACTATTGGAAGTTCATTCTCATACTAGCATCATTCACTTATTTACCAGACAGGAAAAGTGTAACTTACCTTACAGAGATAGTGTTTAATGGAGCTGACTGTAACCCAAGTGCACTTTGCATTGCTTATTTAGGAAGTTTAAGAAAAGGAAACTCTTAAGAGGCACTGTGGAATCCTTTCCCTTCAACAAGGCAACCACTGGCAGGACTGACCTCCTGCATCATCTGGTTTTTGTTTCAGGTTTTTGCTTGAGGAAATACTAATGATGTGACTGACAAGCGAATATCATATTATCTCACCCTGACATGTTTCCGAGACAGTGAAATTCACACTTTGAAGAGAGCATTCTAAAGGGCAGAGTTCAGAAGAACTTATGGGACATGACCCTAGATTTCAGAGTAATTTTCCCCTCTAAATTATTCAACCTTCATAATTACAACCACTGCCATAATTATATTTCCAAAAATTACCTTTCATAGAGATAATAGGCATTTTCAGTTTAAATTAAATCAGAAAAATTCAGCATAGACTGGGTTTCATCAATTTTTCCTGTATATATTCATGAAAATTTCTCAAATGCCCTTTAGAGGATCATGTTCTTATTTAGTGAATAGATACAAATATATATATATATACATATATATATGTATGTATATATAATTGTTACATACAAATAAAACAAATTTACCATATATAAAGGTAAATTCTAAGTAAAATTAGAAGTGGAGAAAATAAAGTCAATGTAGGAATTTCTAAGAATGATAAACACTGTATGTATATTATGTATACACATACAAACTCTCACACACACACCTTTTATTTCACTGAGGTTACTAACTTGAAAGAAGCTAAGAAGAGGGACACCATGAACACACACGTATCTCCTGGAATGCCGATCTGAGTTGTGTTTGTGAAAAATTCAAGGAGGAGATATTTATTTTGAACTACCAAGCCAAATATAAATGAGCTAAAATCCTTGACAGATAGTAAGTTAGAATTTACTTGGAGAGAAGATTGAGTTCCATTATGGATACAGTTCAAAAGATAAGTTTCTGTAATACAGGAAACCAGAGTCACCTAGAAATTTTAAATGGTATTTCATTCATCCATTCCTCAATCATCCAACAGATGTTGCCTGTGTACCAAGCACCGTCTCTGTGAACAAAACAAAAAACCCTGCCCTCATGGAACTTACTATTCTACAAGAGAAACAGCATTAAACTACTTCAAGCAGAGGGCAGGGGAGCACAAAGGGTCTGGGGTCGGGGTGGAGCGGGCCCTAGGAGTTGACTGTGGGAGGCAGGGCAGCTGCGGAGTGCAGAGCACTGCAGAGGTCACGGGAGTAGGTCACGGAAAGGTCACAGTGAGCCACAGGTCACAGAGTTGGATGTTGTTTTTTTCTCTCCATGGCCCTCAGAATAAGATACAAACACATAGTGTGGCACTCTCAGTCCTCCAGTCTGGCTCAGTCTAGCCCTAGCTCTCCCTAACCCCTTGTGTGACACTTCTCATCAAAGTCACTGTGGGGGCACTAGCTTCGGGCCTCCCTCAGTATCTGTGCAGGACCTGCTCCTTCTCTCTGCGAGACCCCCCTCTCCCCAGTTTTCCCTTCCCACTTTCGGCCATTTGGACTAATTTCTGGTATTAACTCTTCCAGAAAGCTTTCCTATGTCATCAACCTCTGGCTAGCTGAGTGCTTCCCCATGTGTTCACAGAATATAACACCACCCCTATCCTGTTCTTTACTATGTTTACATGGTAGTTTAGTCCCTTGAAAATCAGGGGTGGGACCATTTACCTGGTATCCCATGTTCCCAACAGGGTTTGGCATATAAAACAAATATTTGTGGCATGAATGATTGATCTTAAACCAGGCTCAAACCTCTCTACAAAAATTATAGTTATTCATTTTATCAGGACCACACGAAAGATGGCAATTTGTGAAAAAGCTCCACTTCTGAATCGTTCTGCAAAACCTCCAGTTCTTTCATGTCAGTAAAACAATTTAGCTTAAAATTAGTTGGCTCACTAATTAAATAAGAAATGCTAACTAAAGTTTTACCTAGCCAGAAACTCCCAGTAGAAAGGAGGCAGGAGATTAAAACAAGCAAAGTACAAAGGCGCTTCTTTCTGTTTGTTCACAAAGGCGTTACCCATAAAATCTTTCTTTGTCTTCTCTACTTAATGAAATAAAGGCCACAGGGAACCAAAGTAATCAAAGTGGAACACAATGCCTCTCTCTTTCCTAACAGTTCTTCCTTTACTTTAGAGAAGAAAAGCCTGGGGAATCAGACGCTGTCAGCAGGTGAGAGAAACAGACCTTTTAAGTACTTTGATGACAAGCTACACTGAAACCAATGAACCAGTACAAACCTCAAAAGGGTCTGAGTCCACACTTAATATTAGAAAATCAAGATGAGAAGCAAAACGGCTTCTAAGCCAAATGTGTATTTGCAGCCACATTTTTATGTACTTGATTTGTATCCATATGGTTATGTACTTAATTAAAAAGGAAACAGAAAATGAGAAGAACAATAACCATTACTTAACTCTCCAGATTTTAGGTTTCTCTAAAGCTTTTTCTTTGACTCTGCTGTTTGGTTATGTATCAAATATAATATGTGGATATAGAGAACATTTTTATAACATGCAAATTAGCTTCCTAATCTGTATATCAGTTAAGATTTCCCAGCATCTTGGGCCTTAATATTAATAAAATGAAAGTGTGAGGATATGCTTAACTAAGAACAAGTTTTTAATGAAAGAATAAACATTGTCTAAAAGCTGAAAATGCAAGCCTGAAATAAAACATGGAGTATAACAGGTTATCAAGAAATTCACGCTTTCTAATTAAGGCAGGGCTTCAGATGACAGCAAAGTCACTCAGTAACGGAGTGCCTGCCTATCTTCCTCAGCCCCAATATGAGTTCTCAATATAAATTATTGAGAAAACACAGAGCTCTTATCTCCAGAACAATATAAATTACCAATAATATATTTTCAAAATTGTTTTGTTTTGTTCTGTCTTGGGCTGTCCCTTATTAGGTTGGATTTCCCGAACTAGAGTCCCAGAAGTAAGCAGGGCCCCGGTTCCTGTGATGAAGTTGAGAGAAAGACATTTTTTCCCCACTGCCTGGTACCTTAGACATGTAACCTAAATCGGGCTAATTAGGTATTCCTCCTTCGTCAATCCATAGGATATTGATTCAAGTCAGCAAGTCTAGTTACTAGAAAATGTGTGGGTTCTCCTAACCCACCACTGCTGCCTCTTCTTCGGGGTGTACCATTTTTCTGAGTCTGGTTGTTCAGTCTTCCCTGTTCATAAATCCTTCAACATTTAAATCAGCTGGGGCTGGGATTGTTATCCAGCCTGAGCAAAACTGGCTTCTGCTTTCTCTCATAATCATGTGCAAGAACTCAGGATTGGGGAAGCTCATTGTTTTGTCTCAGTTGCCTTTCTCATATTCTCTTAGAAGGTTCAACAGGAACATGGCCATTGCAAAAGGATATTAATTTCAGAGAGTCATGGAGAGTTGAACAAACTCTAAAAATTTATTTAAAAAGCAAAGGAAAAAATGTGATTCAAAGAGCCTTAATTTAAGGGCAAGGGCTTGCAAATCCTAGTGGGACAGACTCTGTTCAACCAGTAGTTCTCAGCTAATGGTGATTGTGCCACCCAGGGGACATTGAGCAACATCTGGTGTCATTAACAATCACAGTTGGGAGGGCCGTGCTGCTGTTGGCATCTAGACAGTGGAGCAGGGCGATGCTGCTGTAACACTACTAAGAATTCCCTCACTTGAATGTCAGTAGTGTCAAGGTTCAGAAACCCTGGTCTACACTAACATCTCCCCTTAAGTCAGATGTAGATGCCATACTTTACCACGTATAAAGCGCACCTTTTGTGCAATTTCTTTAGGGAAAAATAAGGTTGCACATTATACCTGGCAAAATATGATAAATGCCCCACACAGCTACAACAGCTCTCCCGCAGTCCACAATGCTCAAACGTTGTTATAATTGTTTCTGAAACCCCCTTCTTACCCTCATGTTAAAAGAAAATCTCATAATTCATTTGTCAATATCATGATTCCCATACAAACTACACAGGTGGGGAAAAAAGACAAAGAAAGAGTAAATAAGCGTAAGGAATGAACATGGGCAAAGAGCTACAAAGGGCCAAGAGTGTCTGAGGGAGTGACAGGACACCCCGGGTGAAAACATTGTTGTGTTCATGACCACAGACATTGGGAAATAAAACTGAGGGATGCCATGATCGGAATTCAAAGCATCTTATATGTCACAGTGGTCCCCATTTTACTCTCTGAGTAACAGCGATTTTTAAGAAAAAAAATCTAGGTAGGGTAGAATAATATGTTGTTTCTTAAGGAAAAAAAAACCCTCTGGTGTCAGTTTAAGTGATGATCTGACATGAGTAAGAAGTATGCTGGGCGATAGCTTCGACAGTATAAAAGCTAAATTTAGAATGGCTGGAAGAGGTGATGGCAAGAGGGATGGAAAACAAAGGCCAGAAAGGACTGAAACATATTCTCAGAGAGTCCCAGTACCATAAAATATAAATTTAAGGGATAAAAACACTTCCAATGAGTTAGCACACCTCTATTTGCAACCAAATATATTTTTGATTTGCATCAAAAATACGGTAACATGTCCATGTATTAAGAAAATTAAAGGTTTGACAATGATAATGTATGCTCTGTAAAGAATTTTTGTGTGACTGCCAAATGACATGTCCGGAAAACTCTTGGTATTACCTGCTCCAGGACTTCCTTGTAGGTGATAGTCTCCTTAGTGTTTGTGACCGGACTGTCGTAGATGATCGCAATCTTATCTCCTTGACCATTTTCAATATGACGATCAACGGCGTTATAACAAATGTTAAGCATTCCTTCCACAAACCTGAAAAATATTTGGAAAGTAAGAATGAATAACTCTTTTCAAAAGACACCGATACTTAACTAGCCTTGCACATTTCTAGTTGGCAGCACTGCCCTTACAACAGTGCTTTCCCGTGTTTGTTATGCCAGGCAACGATTGCATAAACTAGATGCGTAAAATGGTACACAAGGGACATTTTGATTTTAATGATTATGTATTTACTTTTACGTACACTAAAAAAAATAAAGCCTCACTCTTCTAAGTGACATCTTTGTGGATTTTACTGTGTAGGATGAAACTAGAGTATAGAGCAATAAAATAATCTACATCGAGACAATGAGTTAGATGGAAGTGCAGCACAGTTGCAATTGGCTGAGAGAGCAAATGATAGATGTATGGCTGAAGCTTGGGTAGCTGCTGCAAAAAAGGAAAAACTAGACTTACTGGTAAATTCAAGTCTCCTTTGAAAGATATCTATATGGACAGACAGACAGATGCTATATTAGTTTCAATTAAATATGATATCTGCAATTACATAAAAAATATATAACCTCTTTCCACATGTTGGAAATGCTTTGTAATTTTAATAATGTGTTGCATATAAAATTTTTAATTTTTATGAAATTTTGTGATTCAGTACTTTTCACCTCTTAATAGATCAATGCCTTCCTTTGAAAATACAGACATCATGTAGATGGATGGAAATACATTTTTAAGAAAATATAACTTATTTTTATGAAAAGAAAAGACTAAGCTTTTACCACTTTTTGAAGAGGAGGTGGTTAGAGTAAAAATACAAGCACAACAATGGTCCATTTGTCAGACAAACAAACATTATAACACCAAATAACAGGAAAAATATTGAAGAAACAAGAAAATTCCGAAAAAAAGAACCATACATTATTTTCTCTCCTCTCTCCTTCCCTTCCCCTCTAAAGATAAATAAATAAAATCTTTAAAAAAAAAAAAAGAAAGAAAATTCCTGTTAAGTAGCTGAGTATCACTGTCAGGTCTTCACTCAAAGAGTCTTGAGTGAGATTAAGCAGGGAGTTAAGAACAGCTGTAGACACAGCGGCAGCAGTAAGTAGTAATAGATTCAGACGGCAGCAGGAGGAGAGATCATTTCATCACAATCAAACGACACTACATACTTCAATAACACTGGCTATGACTACCTCACAGCATAGCACAAGAAGTAATTAACATAATGATTCTGAATTACCCAGGGTGAGAGATTCAATATTTGTTCAAAAACATTGTCTCTTCCCCCCACACCCCCACCTCCTGCAGTGAAGAATAATTCCCTTGGTTTTGGCTTATCCAGGTGACTTGCTTTATTTAATCGGCAGACACAATGCAAGCAGAGGCCTAAAAGCACTTGGACACTAGACTTGCTCTTCCTCACCTCTGCTTTCTCCAGAAGAGCCTCCAAGTATTACTGCTGCCTCCTTCTCAGCCTGGAGCTCAGAAAAAAAAATATTTGCAGGTCGGGACAGAGCCCACAAGAAGCAGAAAGCTCAACCCAGCCTGATATGTCTTGGGGCAACGTTTCCAGTTACACACACCCCAGATCAGCTGATCCCATGACGATCTGAAGATACATGGACATAACTGCTTTTCATGATTGAGAGATTTTATGGTTACTTGATTTGCAGCGTAACTATAGCCATAATTAACCAATACATCAAGAAAAAGGTACAGTTCACTCAACATCTGTAGCAAAAATAAGGAAAGATGTTATATAAAATTTTCCTATAAGATATCCCTGTGTATTTTTTGTTGTTACATTTGCTTTTGTTTCTGAAAAGACTGCAATTGAGTCACATGAAGGTTGAGTTGCTGGAACATGTCTTGATGCCATTTTTCTCTTACTCTTTATCTACAACTTCTACTCTACCACATTTTGTGCACAATATTCAATCATGTTTTGACATGTCACAGAAAGGGGCCCTTTCGATTCCAAATAGTCATGGAAATTTTACTTTATAATTCACCTTCAGCTTAACCCAGACAATTGGAGGCTTCTCACCCTGCTCCGGTCCTTGCAATGTATATCACACCTACTATTCCCAAACTAGCAGCCTTTCCAAAGACATAATCTTGAGAGAGTAAGGTGTTGTTGAGACCATGCGGATTGAATATATGACTGAATCCAGTTAAGACCTCTATATAAATGTCTAAGATTCTAGTGGATAGGTGCAGAGATCTACTCATCTTGCAGCCACTGAAGACAAATCTGGAATGGAAGTTGCCTTGCTTGTTAAATCTGCTACCTACCAATCTGGAATGGCCTGCCTCTTTCTTGGTTTCTTCTTGCCTTCTCTGCACGGGGGTTGGTCTGCAAACCAACAATATCTTTCATGGAATCTTCTTCCTTTGCCAAATTTTTAATTGACAGTAAGCTTTAACATTCTATATCCACTCCTTTATCCACTACATACTTTCTCTAAGTGATCACTACACTCCTATGGTTTCAACCTCCACCATTGGCTTTAGCCCTAATCTTCTTTTTGAGTTCCATAACTTATAGCCCACAGTCCCCTGGACATTTATACTGGAAAAAATAAGTCCAAAATTATTATCATTTTCAGCCAACCTCCAACCCACAGCCTACCTTGTCAGCTTAAAATACAAGAACCAGTTTATGAGGCAAAGTATTTATTTGGGATCCCAAAATTGCAAGTTTGGGGGTAAACAGATTTAGGTAAAAATCCAAATAGTTTCTGGATTACAGAAGAGGAATCATGGTTTTTATGAAATAAAAAAGGAGGATGAGGTAAGTTGTTTTTAAAATATTTCATATTTGTACTTCATTGATTGGTCAGGTGATGTGGTCACTAGGTAACATTTCATTTTTATCGGTCCTGTCAACAGGAAATTCTCATTCTTGGTGTCATGGAATGTGGGTGGTCTGGCCCAGTTCAAAGGTTCAGAAACAGGACATGGAAGGCTGTTCCTCTGAAATAGCTGCTCCGGTTCCATTTTAAAATGGCTCCACTTATGTCAACTTTCACATTTTTCCCTTTTGATCACGGTATTTTTGTCAAAAGGATCACTTATCAATCGGAGTAGATTTTCTCCATTTTCTCCTCTTTTCACATCGTGATCCCCTATTGTCAGGAATGCTCGGTCCGGGTATGCCATACCCCACATAGGAGGGGAAGTGGTGTTCTTGCAAGCCTCAAAGACACCTCTGAGCAACAAGCATGCAAAGCAGAGGAAGGCTTGTCATCCAGTCCTATGAAAGAAGCAAAAGCTAGCAAGGTTCAGCACTGGTGTTCAAATCATTTTCCATCTTGTCTTTTAAATGTCCATCTAAGGGCCTATATGTATTAGAAATCAATTCAAAATGCTGCGCTGCCATCACTCTTGTGAAGTTCTTACAGCATTGTGAAAGACAGTTGATTTAGGGTTTAACAACAGCAATTAGTCCTAAAACTCAAAAACAGGACACTGATTCCACATTGTAGGATAATTCTGAACCATGAGGCCGTCCCATCTAAACAGGTCAAAAGCCCAAAAGCCCTGCAGAGGTAGCTATAACCAGTGGGCTTGTTCTCTGGTTTTTGCATAATTGTGTTTCTATCAGTCCTGAAGAATTTATTCAAGTACATGGCAGTGACACAGATATAACCTTGTTCTGCTAGAATATAGTCAAAAGCAATTCAGTTCTCTGAAATAACTTGAACAAGTAAATGGAAGGATTTTTCCAGTGCAGCGATGGCTTTGGCAATAGATTCAGCAATAGCCCCTAAAGTTTTAAATAAATCTCTGACCATATATTCATTTGCAGCAAGACTCCAATGTGGAAACAAAATTCTTGAAAATCTTATCCCTTCACTGTCAGACACATCACCTGCCATCTCTAGTTTTATTCTGCAATGTGTAAATTTAAGGGTGATAATCAATGCTGAGTCTCTGATTGACTAGGTAATGCAATAGATGTACCCAATAATCTGATTGTGCAATACGTTCTGAGTAGATAATATTTTAAGCAACTCCCATATAGATTTTTCTGCCAAGTGCAAGTGAAAATGAATCCCAGTGGGCACAGGTCATGAGTTATGATAATGAGACTCGCTGAGCCAAAGATCTGAAGGTAGTAGGCACAGGGACAATGTTTGAGAACCATCGGAGACCTGTTGAATCCCCTGACCGGTGAAATGAGTGCCCGAGTCGTATGACTAAAGTTCAAAAGGGATTCCCAGGTCAGCATAATTTATTTTCTGTAACAGAATTTTAGCCGCAGAAGAAGCAGTAGCCTCTCTACAAGGAGGACAGATTCTTACTGAACTCAAATAATACGTAATATTGCTCTGAAAATAAAGAATGCTATTTGATATATTCTGAATTCCAGAGGGATCGGGTAGAGTGAAAAAGTGATTGTTTCATCTTTGTTCACAAAGATGTACTTTACCAAATTGCCGTAAGTCATAGACAGCTTAAGAGAACGAGTTTCCTTACATCCAATTCAGTGGTATGGTCTGAAAGTTACCAGAAACTTGTATTCTAAAATATTTGTCAGAGTCCTTTCCATGAATTTCTCTAAAAATGAAGCATCAAAGTAAAACAGTAACTCTCTATAAATGACAAAACTTAAAAATGCCCATTTTAAAAGATCTGATAAGCATTTATCACAATAAATTGACAAATTTTATTTCTATAACATACTCATTATAAGAAGATAACTGGAATTATGACTGATATTATTAGCCAGAATTTTAGAATGGTGAGGCATAGGGCAGGCAACTCCAAAATATGCCACTTTGGAATACTGATTATTCTGAATTAAAATTAATTGAAAACCAGGCAATGCAAGGACACCTTAACCATCCTTTGTCTCCAGGAAGTGAGAAATCCCTGTGCAAGGTGCCCTCCCTGCACCTGGAGACTGAGAGAAACATCCTTATCATCAGAATCAGAGAATTCAAGGCTGAGGAGAAGCAGGTATAAACTATTCTACTTTTTTTAAACTAATGTACTACTCAAGCGCATCCTTTGCTTAGATTCCTCACAAATGA